TGTCTGATTTTCACGCTAAGTAAACTGAGAGAAACTTTTTCGCGGGCAAAGATTCAATTATGATATCATCAAGTACGTTTGAATGTGTTTCCAAAATAGCAAAATGGAGTACTCAGGAGAAAGGGATAACGGCGCGGATACAGAGAGGGAAAATGGCGCGTTATATACACGAGGGAAAGGTAGTGGTGGACGGGAAGAAGATAGAACGAAGGGAGGAAAAAGATACGAAACATGCGCAGGGCAAGGAGACCGGTTTAAACTTGTTGAAATGCATCGGGCATTCCGGCAAAAGAGCACGCTGTTTACAAAACGAAATACGTACGGCGGACATCGCAAACTAGCAATTGTTAAGTAAATACTGCACGAGCGAATCGCATGTTAATTATCAAAATTGGGCCGCCGACCAGCGGGCGTCGCTTTTGTCAATGCCCCGGGACTTTACTTTGCGAGATAAGAGGAATTACCAGCGGGAATTTTACAAGCACCGCTGTACTCGCCTCAGAATTAAAGAGACCAGAAGCCAGAAACTTCCTAAAAGGTTTAATCATCTTGACTTCTTGTTTAAAAAGAATTAAATCGCATTAAAGAAATTGATTCACGTAACTTACCTCGACCAATTGGCACCATAATCAACGCGATCAAATATTGAGAGAACGTTCTTTATGATATTATCCGTCATAACTGCAATGGCTCTCGCGAGTCGTCAATATTTTATGTAATCGCGAGTCGATAAACGTTTGAAATCGCCGTATTACATAAAATGTCCTAACACACCGTCGGGACTCGTGGAACGGAAGATGTCGCTTTCGAAGCGGCAAAAGCATAATGTAATTCTATTAATATAATTGATTGGATTGCCTTGGGAATCCAGCCATCTGTAAGAGGCAGGCAAAGCACCTTCCCGTCACCGTAATCGTAACAGATACGCGTATATAAACAATGTAGATTTGATCAAGATCTCAAAATTGATAGAACGAACACAATCTTTCTGCGGATTACGTCTCTAGCGTGCAATTTGAAACATCGACACAGCCCATCCTTCCATTCGCGCGTCTATCACGCCCGACCTAGTCGCCGGTAATAAATCTGAACTTACAGTGTATCCTTGGATGCAAATTTTCCCACGCGGAAATTTCACATGCGCCATGTCACCCAGTTCGTTTCTCGCATCGCGTCGCGCGCGTATCCCTAATAAATATCTAAATTACGTCCTCAATTAATTTTGATTCTCTACTGCGTGTAAAGTGTTTAATATTTGTAATTATAAGCACATAAAGAAATAATGAGAAAGTGAGTGAACGAGTAAGAGAGCAGCTGCAGCGTGCTTTGTCATTTTAGTTTTTGAGCTTCCCTCTCATTTCATCTGTTTCCCTTCTCATTCCCTCACTTACATCATCCCTAAAAGTGGCGGACAAATCAATGAGGACTCATTGTGCTTTATCCTATCTCTGACTAGAAGAACCTTAGCCAGGTTTATATAAGCCGCGGAATAAAAATTTTGTAAGTAAAAATATTATATTTTCATCTACGTTATATATTTTTATATTTTATAAAAATATATAAATCTATATTTTTATAATTACAGTGATAGAAAATTAGTTCCTATAAGAATTTTTCAAATTATTAGGGAAAGTTCCGCAGGTCTTACGAAGTTGACAGTCTTGTAGCTAAGCGTCGTCAATCACGAGGCTCGACGATCCCAATGTACTGCAGTAGTAGGGCTGATCGATCGCGGATCGCAAGAACGCGGATCGATACAAACGTCAATAACTCCGCTTATATATTGCTATGTATAAGCTATATTTCAGCTTCTATAGCTAATCTTTTCTCCGCATGTACAACGGCAAAAATTGACACAGGCTTCGAAATTGATAGAATGAGAGACGCAACATCGAGAGCCGTCCCACCTTCGATACACGTCTAGCGTGCAATTTGAATCATCACCCCTTTCCTCCCTTCCTCCAACCACACTACACCACGCCACCCACCCACCGATTGCCACCCACCTCTACGCAGAAACTCTTCTATCCTCACGTCCATCGCGTTCGACTGGCTCGATGGCAATAAATCCAGACTTACTCTTTATCCTATCGAGGCTTTGCCCGCCAGAGTGGCGAGCCTCTGGCATTGTCGCGGCTATATCACCGGCCAAAAAGGACGAAAGAGGAACGACGGCGTGTCTCGCGACGCACACAGGACTCGACGGAACCTGAATTAAATTCTGAGATTTATCGCGTCAATAACCGTGCATTAATTTGTCATTTCTTTCCTCTTTTTCCTGCCTCTGCCTATTTTTTTTCCCCTCTCCGTTTTTTTCTATTTACGGTGAGGAACGTAAATTCACGAGGCGCGCGGCCGACATGCCGATTGTTTCTCTCTGCGTAGAGAGAGAGAGAGAGAGAGAGAGAGAGAGAGAGAGAGAGACCCGGTCAACGCGTAAAGAGAAGTGAGTAAAAGGATAGAGAGCGAACAGCGGGGCGTTATACCGCGAGGAGAAAAACATACAGAAAGCAGCTCATATCTATATCGATGAAAAGGGGGTGGCTGCGGATACGCGATGTGAACGATGTGAAGGGTGGGCAACGGCATAGGCGGCGACTAGCGGCGCGTGTTCCACATCTAACTTATATTGACCACTCAACATTCCGTGCTCGTAAACTACGACATTCGCCGACCGTTCGGCGCAAAAGCAATCGGAAACGGTATATTGCGGTTCCAAAAGGCCTTTGAAGTCGCGTGCGCGCGCGCGCGAGGGTGCGCGCGTATCACCGCACGCCACAAGGGGTGGTGAGCATCGTCGATCAAAATTATCCGGCCCACATTTATTACTTGGTACGTGATGCCACTGAAGAATTACCTCTTGGCTAGGCGTGTTAAAACGTCGCTTCGTCGCGTCGTTTTGTGTGCTTAAAATTTATTTCCGATAAAGATTAATCGACTAGTCCGACGGTTCATTATTCCAGATTTATCCACTGTCTAATTCGCTTTCTTTCTATCTCTCCTCTTTTTTTACGTCTTTTCGTTTTCTTTCCCCTTTCGTTTTCTTTGCCTTGTTTTTATCTTATGCCAAAGGAATTTCTACACGAGCTGGGAAACATTTAATTGCCGCGAATATATTTCGTATCGACCGTCGATTCGTTAATTTATTCCCTATCGTCACTCATTAGGAAGGTGTACACATAGTACGAATTTCTCCTCACTCTTTCCGCTTCCGCCCAGATACGTCCTTTGATCGATTAATCGTTTTAATTACGGGCGAAACCGCGGCAGGTGTGCATTCAAATTGATGCACAGAGTGGAAGTACCGACCGGCTGCAGCCTGAAACGCGCGTAATTCCGCCTGCCTTCTCTTTTATTCCCTTTTACGTTCTTTCCTTTTGACAACCCTTCTTTGAAGCCTCCTCTCTTTCCCTTATTCATCCTCGCTTTGCATTTTTTCCTTCCCCTTTTTTTTTTTCGTCGCCTATTCTTCGCTTTACACAAGTCCATCCGCGCGTATCACGGCAAACGTTGTTTGCCACACTTTTTAAACATAACACATTAAATTATAAGGAGGAGAGGAGCTCTGCTACGTATTATGCATTTAATAATTCATCTCCGCGAAGCCGTGCTTTTTCAATTTGACGGACGAGCTGGACGGCGAGAGCGAGGAGTATTCCAATTCCAATGATATTTAGTATTTAATGTTCGTTAGAACAGACGTGTATGTCAATGAAACACTGTGAAGCTTCCGTTTCTTTCTCGACTATTCAACTCGTTGACCAGATACAACAAATCCTTCGCTATTCGTATATCCTTTTCTCGAAAATACAATTTAAAAGAGGAAGAAAAGAGAATGAGAAAACGTTTGTTCGATTTTTGAAGAAAACGATGAATATATAATCGCGCAGAGCCTTCTAAAGCAATCGCATAAAACGTGTCTTACCAGGATATGTCCGTCTCTCTCTTTGGAGCGTTATTTGTACCGATTCCACGATCCTCCTTCCTAATTACCCATTGCTCTCTTGCATCCACTTCATCCATCACAAACGAGGAGACAATAAAGGAGGGAAGATCAGATGCTGTCACCTTTGCGCCAGCGATTTTTTCTACGGGCAATTAATTCCGTAGTACGCGGAAAGTGTCATACATCAAAGTTCCACCGTGGTCTACATCAATCACCGCGCACATAGTAGACGGTAGATACCGCGCTACGTAGTCTTTGGAAAATTCCCACTCGCGGTTGAAAAAATCCCAGATAGCCGGGTATAACGAGATGGGGGGAAAGGAGGAGGGAGAGAGAAAGAGAGAGAGAGAGAGAGAGAGAGAGAGAGAGAGACGGGATGGCGTACGCGCAGCGTGGAATTCTATTCGCTCTATCGGTCGAAAGAATATTTCCTCGTCGCCTTGAGCTCTCGCCGAAACGGCTGCAGCTTCCACGTCGCGCGCCCCAGTATTCCTAATTTTGTCCGCCGGGCGCTACTGGAATCTTAATTATGAGGAAGAATTCGTCGAGGTCGGACCGGCAGCCCAGTCCCAATTCGCCCGACAATGTCGCCGGCACTTTTCCAGAGAATATGAGCGTTTCGAAATTCAACTGCGCGTGAAACAAATTGAGGTCCACCCCCGCCCGCAACCCCCTCGACCCCCTTTGCGTCGTAATAATGCGATAACGGCTACACATAAGCGCGGATCCGCACGTCCGTGAAAATACTAAACATTGCCACGCTCACTCACACGTGCGCGCGCTGATGTTCACTATTTCGCGGCAAAAGAGAAATGCAATTTGGATGTATGGAAGAATTATTTCAGCCTTGATATCGAATGACGCAGAGGATTCGTAGAGAGACTACAGAGTGCTCTTAATCGAGCAAGATTTACATCAGACGTACGGAGCGGCGGATTTAATCGCCGCTCGTGACTTTTCCCGATGACTGAATCTTATTCTTCAATCGCGCGCCACCCCCTCGTACACCTGTGCGCTATTCGATCTCACGGGATACGTTGTGTTTCTGTTGCAGAGATTGCAGAGTCGTGAGGGATCCGCAAACCTTAAAGTCCAAAGGATATGGATTCGTCTCGTTCGTCAAAAAGGCGGTAAGCACGCGATACTATCGGCTAACCGATGTGTTTCTCATGTTAGAAAGTAGTAGATTAGCGAAGATTAGGAAGATTAGAGCGTTATACCGTAGCTGAGATATAATGAGCAGATCCCACCACATGAGCCTTAGCTACGGTACTCAAAATTCGTAAGAATATCGATACCCTTAGTTCTACTTCTTGCAGAAGTATAACACGTTAAAAGTAGATGACCAGATGTATACCCTAGTTGTGTAGCCGACAAATTATTCCCACTCTTAGAAATTTCGGATCTCTGTTAGATGCGCCGCCCGTTAGAGACGTGTAACCTTCAAACCGCAAACTTCCCTAGCGCCCCGTCGTCTCTCGCTTCTACAGCATGGAACAGTGTCTCTTTTCGGTAAAGAAAAAAAAAAAGAAACACGTGTAGAAAAACTGTCTCTCTATTTTAAAAGTTTAATAAGATGAGTTCATTATCCGAGCATGTATCAATCGATATATCTTAAGTGGTAAAAATACACTTATGCCAAGTTAACTCGAGAATCTTGCAAGCTTTACAGACTTTACAAGAAAACTTTATGCATCGCGCTCTTTCTTCCCTCTCTGCCCGTCCCCTTCGATGACGTACCCTTCTTATACGAAAATGTAATAGCGCTCGTGAGAGAGAAAATTTCGAGGAACTCCCGAGCTCCGCAGGGGACTGCAGCATGCAAAGCGTCGATTAAAGCAACAACATCCGTAACTCCATATTTAAGAGATTACGGTCAAAAATGAAATGACAAATTATCCGGCTACTCGCGAGCGGCGGAGATAAGGGGCCGAGAGCTCGATCCGTTTTATGTAAATCAGACTTACTGCGGCACAATGGCAAGGTAGATAATTCCCCCACTCCTTCTCCTCGAGCAGCATTTTAATTATCGCATTCAACTCCGATCGTCTCCCGAAAGTCGGAAAAGACGCGAACTACGCCGCGGCGGGACTATACGACTGCGAAATCACGGGGGAGATGGAGGAAGAGAGGAGAGAGATCGTCACTTTCGCAGTATGTCAAACCCGACGTCAATCCTTCCCGGCTGCTGCTGATCAAATAAGGGGCAGGGAGGGTCCGACCGTCACCGGTTTACAACATCATTTTTCGGGAGCTAAATGGAGAGCGGCCGGAGTTTTACTGTGACCCGCCAAAATCCGCGACGTAAATCACAGCGAAGTTAGATGTACGGCTGAGTAAAAGAAGGCTTTCCTCCGTTTATGGCGGGGTTATTCGTCGAGGCGCCTGCCCTGAAGGTAGACTCTCTCTCTCTCTCGTTTCCCCTCTGTTTTAATGTCCTATCGATCTGGACCACCGCCGGCACCTGCCTCACACCCGCGGTATTACTATTGCCGAAGTATAAATTTCCCGAGTGTCTCCGTTAACCTCGAGGAACACGCGAAAATTTCGCCCCTTTCCCTTGCCGCACTGGCCCCCGCCCAACCCACCCTCTCGCGCGCGCATCCACCCTCTGGCGCGACCAGTCCCGCCAACCACACTATATCCTTCGACCGCCGGATACACGTACCTAAATCGCGAGCTCTGATCGCCCAGCATCCAACATCCTGGTTCTTTTAAGACGTACGTGGAAATACGAATTCTCGGGATTCTCGTTTTTCTTCGGGGACAGACTCGAGTGCCGCATTTAATGAATATCTAGCTTCATAATATCCTACCGTCGCGCTCGCGTTTCCTCCCCCATACGTTTCATATGTCCGCGCAGTACGCTCGTCCAAGCGCGGATGACGTGTCACTTTTCTCGACGCGGCTTCGTGAGCGCACCGAGAGAGATCCTCTTTCCTGAATCTCTCTTAATAGACCAACATCCGCGGTTTTTTCGTTTCGCGAGTTTCTCGCGTGACACGAGCGTTGCCTGCGGCTCAGGCGGCGACGAATCGCGGCTTATGATGTCTGATCAAACTCTCTGTGTCGAAAACCCACGGCCCGAGATACGAGGAGATACGTCGCGAAAGAACAACAACACAAAGAGAACGATGCCAGAACAAGGGGAAAAAATTCCGCGGAAACGACTGCGAAGTTGGTAGAGCCAACGTTAAGGCTGCGAGTCGTAATCGATGGAAATGGAACGCGCACTAAATATTAGTGTTTGCCAAACGGATACTTTTTCTTGAATATTCCTCGCGAGAGCAAATGCCTTTCTCTCTCTTTCTCTCTTCCTCCCTCTCCTCGACTATAAAATTTATATCTTTATCACGTTATTCCCTTCGATTCTTATGAAAGTCTTATTGAATTCTTTTTTAACGGCTAGAATTTCATTAAAGTTTCCATCAGAATGCATCGATTTCGCTCAGACCGGCTTATCGGACGAGGCGTTTTGCAGCGACGTTCTTCTACTCCCGCGCGTAACGTTATTTCGAAAAGCGCTTTGTGTGCGTGTGCTGTGTGTGCGCGCGCTACTACTTTATTTTTTTTTTACTCGCGGTATATGGCACAATGTCGATATCTATTCTAGCGCGGGGACGGATCCCTCGTGTAGTCTAAGCTCTGCCCCTGTTAGCAATTGTTGGTCAGTGTATATTCGCGCATACTCGCTATGTAAGTGCTCCGAGCCGCTCTAGTTACTGTCAACTTTTGTTGTTTTACCATTTGATCGATAAATCGCGCGGTGTTATGACTCACGACCTTAAGCACACAAAAGCGCACTTGCAACCGCATAGATTTGTATACTCGCACTGAGCAAACAAAGACGTTCAGGAGCGTCATTTTTGCTATTTACGGCGCATCAGTGTGCTGCAGCGCCTTCGCGGTATACGCACCGCCGTTATTTTATTTACGGCTCCAGTCCAAATATCAGATGCATAACGGCCACGTTGACACGTTATTGAATATACAACAACCGTGTAAATAAATACTCAGTATTTTCTGACAAAACAGGAATACGCTATAGCGAGCCGCGGAGAATTTTTGAAACAACAGATCATATTTTTACTTGGTCATGAAATCATAAAGTTTTCATTGAAAATGGTGAAACGCCACATAAGATCTGTATGCCGCGCTGACAGACGAAATAAATGACCCTGGGAAGTGCGTCGTCGGAACATCGATTAGAATAACCTCTCTGTCTCACTCTCCCCCGTCGTCGTTGCGAAATCAAATTTCGCGGTCGCGGATATATAAACGTGTGTGTACTTATGTCGCTTCATTGACACGCTCTGTGAAGCGTCTGCGACTGTGAATCAGCCTTCCAAGGACGCAATTGGAGAGGAGCGGTGAAACTGAACGTCAATTAAGCTAAAGAAGTTCTCGGTCAGCGATTGCTCGCGCGCGATCGGGCTCGGTGCAGTCCGACGGGAGGGATGTTTCGTTAAGGCCACGTAATCCGACGGCGCGTAGCGCCGTATCGGAGCATGACTTAATAATGCGTGTAAAACAGCTGGGTGTCGGTGCGCGGTGCTCCCGTCTATCTATAGCATCGCCGACCGCGGAAGAAATTCGATTTGATGGGTGCTTGGACAGCTCGAACCGCCGCCGCCGACCGACCGACCGACCGGCCGGCCGGCTGGTTGGTCGGCCGTTCGTTCGGTCGGTCGGTCGGTCGGTCGGTCGGTCGGTTGGCGGTGGTACTTCTGGTATCACGTAAACACCCTGGTCACGCCGGACGGAAGGGGCCAAGCGGCGGTAGTTTTCAGGGGTTGTGGGTCGAAGAGGCGTTGGGATATCGACCGAAGTTTAGAATCAGCTTAGAGCGGGGCATTCGGTCGCCCCGGCGCTCTATCTAGGCTAACCGCGCGAACGCGCGGCGTCATATCGGGAATGGAAATTCGAATCGGAAATACTTTATCTGGGGAAACGCGGAGTGGCCGTTGGAGAGGATGAAGACCGCGCACGCGGAGAGTCCTCGGCTGGAGCCCGCGTCGTGGAAGGAAGTAACGGCTGGAGATGAGGCGAAGGCGAAGCCGAGGACTCCCCCAAATGGCGCAAATGGCTGAGGGTGGAGAGAGAGAGAGAGAGAGAGAGAGAGAGAGAGAGAGGGAGAGAGAAGAAAGAGAGAGAGAAAGTGGACGCGGCAGTGGGTAGACTACCGCTGTGGAAGCTGGAAAGGCACGGAGGGGAAGATCGCGTGAGTTTAGAGGGAGAGAACGAGGCATATCTTCTCTCCCCTACCTGCCTCTCTCTCTCTCTCTCTCTCTCTCTTTCTGTGCCTCTCACTACCTGCAAACCCGGAGAGCTTTCCGAACACAGTAAACTTTTTCGGGAAATTCCTCGCGTCGGGAACATCTTCGGTTCTCTCTCCTACCCTATCCTCTTCTCTCCTCTCATCTCCTCTCTCAGTCGTCCATCGAATCTGCCGTCCGAACGCCACCCTCGCCGATGCATACCGCGAACGCGCATGTGTACGATGTAGCCCGATGACGTGTGTCATATCGTGTATATTTCCTTGGCGCGAGCATCGCGCGCTGCGAATATCCACCCTGGCGTTTTCCACCCTTTTCGCGTTGCAAGCCTCTCTCGCGGTCGATGGCGAGGTTTCGCCTTATTTTTTATACAGATCGCCTAATGGATCCAGGCGCGCGCGCGTAAGCACGTATGCATACACGCGAATTAAATGCCAACTACGGCATCTGTTTTGTTAGAGCGTCCTATAGAACGAACAGTCGCCCCGTCGTCGCCACGGCGGCGGCGTTAGCCTCTCCTCTTCGGCGATTCTCTGTTTCCCTTCGGCCAAGAGGGAGAGAGCGCGACGTCGCGATGGAAAATGTCTCGGATCGCCGGGAGCGGTTCGCGAAAATCCGGGGGAATCAGGAGTGCAGTCGATCGAATAAAATTTCAAAACGTATATTAAGTTGACCTGGATCGAGGGCCACGGTGCTGACGGGATACCGACGGCTGAATCAACAATAAGTCGCGGATAATATTGACGTCAACATACCTGTTGGTTTTATCCGCGGTTTTGCGTGTGAATGCGTCGCGTCATCCCCCGTCTCTGCTATCCCCCTTTCCTCCGCCGTGTCGCGCGGATACTGTTGCCAGTTCTTACGGCGCCCCGCGATTGTTGTTGCAGACATTGCGAGAGAGACAATAAGGGAGAGCTTTCGCGCGCTATTTTCATTGGCCTCCCCCTGCGCGCGCGCGCGCAAAGCCCTCGTGGAGCGCATTCCGTAATACGTAAATACAGTCCTATTATGTCCGATAATTTTCGCCATTATTATTTGTTCGGCCGCGCGCCAACGAGTTTCACAACATCCTCAGTCACCCATTTTCGTCCACACGCTTTGCCCCGTGCCGCGAATTTTTCCACGTGTATTCCGACACGCGCTTGCCAAGTGGAGCGGAACGTTATAATGTAAGACTTTCGCAAATGCCAACCTCAGCCGTGTATACGCATCCGATAGAGAGAGCGGCGTATAAAATTGCGGAATAAAATAACCTCGTCGCTCCGATGTGTATAAAAAAACAGAGATTTTGTATTTTTATTCCAAATGTGTCTGCTGCAAAAATCCACGACTACTTTGGTCGTCTAAAGGCTAAAGAATTAATGAACGGTGCGATAACACATAAAACGCCGAATTTAATGTATTGCACGGCTCAAGCTGCTGGATAAATACATTTTCCGCTGTAAAACCGAAAAGCCGCGCTGCGAGATTGGAGAGCGCAATATTGAAGAAAAATAGTGTGGAATGTATATTAAATATCGTTAGCGAGTGAATATTAACGAGAAGGTATCCGAAGGGTTCCGGCGAAAATTAGTATTGAAATATATGCAAGTCTACACCTAAGGCTCGTATTAATAGTCGCGTTACTTGAAACTTTTCTCACGTGAGATACTCGAATTGGAATTTAGACCTGTATTATTAGTCATTACTTCAAACTTATGTCAAGTGAGATACTCGGATCTGAGTTGAGGATTAAATAGGAGTTTTTGCAGTGGAATCGCAATTATAAATATAAAGTCACGTATATCATAGTTCAACAGAAAAATTTAGATCAAACTCTAAATAAAAATATCTCATGAGACAAGTTTCAAGTGGCAACTATTGATACAGGTTTTGGACCTGTATTAATAGTCATTATTTGAAACTTGTTTTAAATGAAATATTCAGATTTCAATATTTCAATATTATCAGAATTAGATGAGAGTTTTTCAGTTGAATCGTGCGACAGATATAAATGAAAATCACATTTATCATAATTCAACTGAAGAACTTGGATCTGAATAAAGACCTGAGTATCTCATTTGAGAGTTTCAAATAACGTCTATTAATCCGGACATTAGAGTTAGATTTATAGTTTGAATCATACATCATACGTAATGTTATATTTGTAATTGTGATTTAACAGAAAAATTCACATCCAACTGCTCATCCAAGGCTCATACTAATAGTTATTACTTGGAACTCGTTTCAGGTGAGATACTTGGATTTGAAAAAATTTCGAGTTCCTTAGTCAGAATCACAATTACAGATATCATAATTCACACATATCATAATTCCATTGAGAAGCTTGGATCTCATAACTTTGAATAAAGATCTAAGTACCTCACTCGAGACAGGTTTCAAGCAACGATTATCAACGACAAGCCCGAGTAATCGGTACGCGAGCGCGTTATATCTCGAGTTTATGGTAGAAAATTTTGATTTTCCCCTTGCTGTTGCCTTTTTATAGGAAGCAGAGAGTGCCATCGGTACCATGAACGGCCAATGGCTCGGCGGCAGAAGTATCCGGACGAATTGGGCCACTCGCAAACCACCCGCACCTAAGTCCGAAGGTGAGTCCGCTTTCCATGACCGAGCGTTTCGTTGCATACACGTGTAGCACAGTGCATGATTACTATCGTGACAAATGGTTTTCTTAGTATACGGCGAGTGAAAGTATTCAATTGTCGGCGCGAACGAGCACGCGCGAGTGTGTAAATCAACGGGCGTTACGTGTTACGCGACCTTCCACCTAAAAACGGCGTCCCCATCGGGTTTCTTATTTTATCGCCTTACTCTCTCGCTGAGACTTCGCAACGGTTAGAAGGTGAGAGAGATACGATGTAAAAATATACACACTTCTTCGTGTGCGAGGGAACGGATATTACCGCGACCGGGGCCGCGAGAAGGAATGCGACTTTGCGACAATTTCAGGCGCTTTTTATCGAGGGAAAGGAAAGGTAAGGAGCGAGTAAGGAAGGTATACATGAGAGTTAAATGTGAGTTTCATCGGACGGCAGGCGCCGTGGGTAGCTTCGATGGGTCTGGCGACCGCAAAAATCGAGTCTGGTGAACGGTGCGATTTCGAGGGAGAAAATCAAAGGGTCGATACATATTTCCGAGCGCTCCGTCAAAAGCGTTATATTTACGTCCACGGCGTGGCCCGTCATGAATACCAAACTGGCGGCGCTAAATTAAATATCGCGTTCGTCGGTCGCGAATGCGGAAATTTCGCCGACGCAACCGGAATTCGATTAGGTCGGCGAAATTCTACCGCGCACAAATGGATGCGCACGGTCGCGTTATTCTGTGGAGTTCGAAAGGTCCGCCTCTTGTGCAACACTCGGTGAGTCGTTCGCACAGAAAGCTTTCACTGCGCCATTCAGGAAAGCTCGAAACGGCTTTACCACGAGCGGTTACTCTGCAAAGCGGGCTCTACAAAGGCAGCACTAGCTGTTGGAGTGTTTGTTAATCGATACCTTGAGATGGACTCAAGAGCCTTTTTTCAATGGACTGAGGCGGAGGAAGGAAGAAGTTCTACTCGCGTCGGACTATCATGTTCCCAGAGTACTGAGATTGATTTCAAAGCCCGGCGAGCGACAGTATGGACTCTGTGAAAATTTCCCGTTGCGCGCGAGACAGGGATCAACAAATATTTTCTTCTCTTTCTCTTCTAAAATGCGTTTACTGGCGATAAGTCGTAAATAGTACTCTCTACCCCCCCCCCCCTGCCGTCGAGAATGCGCCGTAACAAAACGACCGAATACAAATCCGACCGGAAAAGAAATCGCGATCGTCCAGACTGTCGGTAGACGTTGCTTACGCGAACAAGGAATACCGAAACTTGAAGAATTATAAACAAATTTATAAAAATTAATTGAATTGATTCTAATTGACTCTTTGATCACAAGTATTTAATCACAAGTGGAGAACAAAAGGACGTATGAGAGTCTACGCACGGGTTTTGTAGCGCAATCAAAAAATATCCTATTAAAATTATCATCGAATAAAGAGATAATTTTATATTTATGGAAATAGCTGCTTAAATAGTCCACATAGGACGTTTCGCTCCTACTCGGATCTTTTCATGGTGTGAAAGCAAAGTCAAACGATAATTTCAATTGATTATTTTTTGACGACACTGCAAAATCCATGTACAAGCTGTCATGTGCTCTTTTATTCTTCATCTGTGATCGAAAATTTACAATTTTCTTACATTTAGACAAAAATATATGGTAGTAGTAAACTATATAGGTAATAACTATACGAGTTTTCTATGTGGAATCAATGTATGTAGTTTAGTAATTAATCTATTTTGTAGTTATTGCAATTAAAGCTGGATGCTTGCGAGTACTATAAGTATATTGTTCTTTAATACTCTATATAATTCTCCTAATCATTCAGCTTTAGTTGCAACAACTAAAAAATAATTTATTAATAATTTACTAATAAATAATTTATTAATAATTTATTAATAAATAATTTACATTGATTCTCATACAAAACTTTTATAGCTGTATGGCATATATATAGTCACCACTACCACGTATTTTTCTCTAAATGTACACCGAGAAAAAAAATATTTGTATAATCACATGGAGAAATAATTACTATAAATTATGGTCAAGAAAAAACCACATCTTCTTATTAAATTCTACTATAATATTAGTGATAACCTTATATGCATGTTACTACTACCACTCTTGTGTCGAAATAACCAAAAAAATATGGTTGGAGTAAAAAATAACTATATTTTTAGTCAGATAAACCATTTTTCCTCTCAATGTACTATAACAGAATTAAAAACTGTGTGGTAAGTTTAGCCCGAGCATAAAGTATTCAAATTGCTAAAGAGACAAGTTCTCCCTTTATCCATTTCTGCTTATACGGCATCATCAGTGGGCAATCAATAAATTGAAAACGTTCTCCTTCGCGATAGTAATTACTTGTATAATTAGGATGGTTTGAGACAACGGCAGGATGAAAGCCTCGGCTCAGTAGGGATAGTAAGAATCCAATTGAAGTTATGAACTAAACGCATAATGAGCTTGGAGGTAGCACTCCGAGGCCCCAAGTAAGTATTATTATATTATCATAAGCGGCTCTTCGTCGCCGAGTCGAGGACTCCATCGTCCATCCTCGCGGAGTCACCACCCCCGACCCCTCAGCTAACTAATTTCATTCCGCAAGTCTTTAATTAGTATTCGTCGCGGGGCGTCCAAACTTTTTCACTAGGCGAGGGCTTGCAAACTCGACCTACCCGGATTGTTCACCCGTATTTGCATAGGCCAAATTCGTAGAAAGTACTTTCTTGTTGGCCACCTTTACGCGGTTAATATTCCTCGACGGACGTACCCTAAATTTCTCATAAGAGAAAATAATGGTCCCGAAGAAGTTCCCGCTGCGCCCCGCTCCCTTTCCTTTTTTCCCCGTCCCCCTCTCTCTTTTCTCTCGCTGTAAACATCCGACGCGGACCTGACAGTCGCCGAGGGCTTACCATACTTGCCGCGATTAGAAACGCGCGATCGCGTGGATTACTTTAATTTATAACGTTCATTCTGCGAACTTTGTCACCTGAATCTACATATATATTTGGAGTTTCGCGCACTAAAGCGCCGCTGCGTCACGCTCGGTTCACCCCGTTCTGTTCGTCTTACTTCTTCCAACCATCGCCCAACCACCCCCTTCTTCTTGACGTAATCTAAAAATTCATTTTCATTTTATTTCGACTCTGAGATCGACCTCCGCGATTTCGAAATTCGCGCGTCTGGTTTCCCCTAATTAAGTTGGTCTGGAATACGAAAGAGAGCGTTATAAATAACTACGCTAAAACTATACCCGCGCATACGAAAGATGTCTGTGGTTTATTGAGCGTGTGATAAAAGCATCCGAGATTCGATCCATCTTGCGCTACATATATATTTTCATTTCGTTTCTCTCTCGCGACAGGCACCGCGCGTCGTTCAGTCGCGCGAGATTATTATTTGCCCCGGTACGTATTTCATTCTCAAATTAAATAGAATCATAAATTTAATTAGCAGAGACGATTCGGATCACGGAAAATTCGGATCTTCTCTAAGCTCGATCTTATCTCCGATCTGATTTCTGCAGCCGCCAAGTATTTAAAAAGCCTTTAATGCAAATGTATTATTTAGACGGAATATTAAAGCGATTATCTGTTGAAATATCTTTCATTAGCTCGTCAAGTTCTATTCGTATATTTCAGATATGTTTAACCGAAATTTGTTTTATTATACTATCTTTTTATCGACGGCCCCGATTAAACGTGAATTCACTCTCAAGCACGTCACATTCGCATAGAAGTACACAAAATCCTGTTGGCGATCTCTCGCGAGCCCTAACAAAACTCTCGAGCTTCAAGTGGACGACTTGGCACGCTCCAAGCGAATTCTTGCATTATATCGATGGCCAATCGTGTTCGGCCAACATAGGTACGTGTACATAGGGAACGCTCACGACATCGATTTGCGCGCTTCAAAGTCGCAGTCTCGCATAATATCACGTACCCACTCCGTGGCACGTCGAGCGCTAACTTTTTGTAACTGCTTTACAAGAGTTCGCAACACGCAAAGCGGCATAACTCCCCTAACGTATAACCGATTATAAGAGAGACATTTGTAAGCCTCCAAACTGAATAATTCGCAGACAAATTTGTAGCGCCTCGAAAGGGCACAATGAATTAAATGAAAAAGGAGAGATTTTTGCATCCCATTGTGTCATGTAAGCGCGCACGCGCGTTACCGCGCAATGTAACTTTACTACTCGTCAGAAATCAATGCGATTTATGTCTAATCGTGCACTAATTAAAATCTTCTTTGTGAGCTTTTTGTTTTAAGCTCACTATACTGCGACGTCCAGCTATCCGCTGAAACGTGGACTTCGTCACTTTGCATCCTTCCAGCATCCAGCATCCAGCTCGTCCTTCATCGGTTGCACATTTCCTTGTTTACCTACACTCGCGGTGCGATAATTTTCAAGGCATCAAGATATCAAGAAAATGTACTCATTGATCTTCGAAAATATCTGCAAACATTCGCGAACTAAAATCACCGCGCTTCCGACAAGGTCGCAAGAAAAAAAGAAAACATCCTGCCTCGCGAGTTATTGTTTTTGCCAAGAAAAAAAAACGCACTTTTCGTTTCGAGAGAATTCTGATGTGATTTGTATCAAAAGTAAACAATTTAAAAGTAAACAAACGTACGTAAATGGAACTTTGCAATAATCTCGATTGAAGTTACATTATCATTTTCGTCGCGTATGAAAAGTTTGGACAGTTGACCGCGGAAATTGAAGTCACATTAAGCGTAAAATTTACGAACGCAAATATGAATAATCGCGAATTTTATATTATGGTAGCACAATTTTGTTGCGCATTTTGTACTGCTCGAAACATTAGGAAATCATATTACAATTCTGTCGTGCGATTTTGTATTTTTAATTAAATATAATAGAGAAGCCAAAATATTCGTTTAAATATGTTTTCTAAGAGCATCAAAAGTAAAATATTTAAAATCTATTGTATCTACTGTACCATATATTTAATTTTTAAAAA